TATCTGGTGTTTGTACTTCTTCATTTGAGAAGTGTGTGTTCATCTCAGATGCCCATTTTTGGACTGGGTCTTTACATCTGAGGGGACTGATTTTTTTTTTTTAATTCTTTATAGGTTCTGGATAGTAATCCTTTATCTGAAGAACAGCTGGCAAACATTTCTCCCACATAGTGGGTTGTCTTTCACTCTGTTGGTGGTTTCTCTTGCTGCATAAAAGCTTTTCAGAAGTATGAGATCCCATTTGTTGATTTTTTTTTTTGTGATAAGTCCTGTGCACTCTGGGTTTTATTCATAAAATCTTTGCCTACACCAATGTTTTCAAGAGTTTTACATACTCTATCTTCTAGAAGATTTAATGTTTCTGTTTTAATATTAATATCTTTAATCCATTCTGATTTTAGCTTAGCATATGCTGAAAGATATAGGTCCAGTTTTAATCTTCGGCATGTGGAAAGTAAATTTTTCCAACACCATTTATTAAAGAGATGATCTCTCCTCCAGTGAATGTGTTTGGCACCTTGTCAAAGATAAGGTGGCTGGGGCTGGGGATTAGCTCAGCGGCATAAGCGCCTGCCTTGTAAACAGGCAGTCGTGAGTTCGATCCCCGGTACCCATAAAAAGGAAACAGGCAAAAAAAAAAAAAAAAAAAGATAAGGTGGCTTAGTGTGTCTGAAGTTATTTCTGCATCTTCTAATCTATTCAATTGATTTTCAGGTTTGTTTTTTTTTTTCAAGTACCACACTGTTTTTATCACAGTAGCTTTATAGTATAATTTAAAGTCAGAGATTGTGATGCCCCCTGTCTTGTCTTTGTTGCCCAGAATCACCTTTGCTATTCTAGGTCTCTTCTGATTCTAGATGAATTTTAGGATTCTTTTCTCTAATTCTGTAAGACATACTATTGTGATTTTGATTGTAATTGCATTGAATCTGTATAACAGTTTTGGAAAGTATGGCCATTTTCAGTATATTGATCCTTCCTACTCAAGAGCATGGGATATCTCCATTTCCTAATATCCTCTTCAATATCCTTTTTCAGAGTACTGTTGTTTTCAATGTAGCAGTCTTTACATCTTTCATTAGATTGATTCCCAAATATTGCATTTTGGGGATGCTATTGTAAAAGGTGTTATTTCCCTGATTTCTCTCTCATTGAGTTTGCTATTCGTGTACAAGAAGGCTGTTGATTTTTGTCCGTTTAATATGATGTTGGATGTTGGTTTATTGTAGATGACTTTTATCAGATAGGTCTTTCTCTGGTTTTGGTATCAGGGTAATGCTTGCTTCCAGGAATGAATTTGGAAGTATTACTTCCCTTTCAATTTCACTGAAGAGTTTGAGAAATAATAGTGTAAAGTCCTCTGTAAATTTCTTGTAGAATTCAGCAGTGAATCACTATATCTTCTATTTCATTGACTGATAATGGTTTATGTAGGATTTTTATATCTTCTTGATTCATGTTTGTAATTCATATTTATTTAGGAATCTGTCCGTTTCTTCTGTATTTTCCATCTTATTAGAATTCTGTGTCTTCAAAGTAGATACAGATGATCTTCTGGATTTCTGCAACGTCTGTTGTGATTTCACCCTTTTCATTCCTAATGGCATAGATTTGAGTCTTTTCTTTCTTTTTATTTTGGAAAGATTAGCAAAGGGTTTGTCAATTTATTCAGTCATTCAAAGAACCAACTCTTTGAGTCATTGATTATTTTCTTTCTTTTTTTTTTTTTTTTTTTTTAGTGTCCAGTGTGTTCATTTCTGCCCTGATCTTTGTAATTTCCTGCCTTGTACAAGCTTTTAGAAGCCTGCTCTGCTTTTTTTAGAAGGCCTGAGGTTCAACAGAAGTTGTTTACGTGCATTTGCTCTGTTTCCTGCTATGGGTATTTACTGCTATAAATTTCCTTCTTAGCACTGCTTTCATTGTGTTCCACAAGTTCCAGTATGTTATATTGTCATTTTCATTGAATTGTAAAAACTGTCTAATTTCTTGTTTAATTTCATCTGTGACTCATTGGTTGTTCAGTATGGTGCTATTTAATTTCCATGCTTTAAAAGAAATTCTTGTGGCTTTTTTTGCTGTGGATTTCCACTTTCGTTGTAATGTAATCTGATAGTATGCATGGGATAATTTCTTTCTTTCTTTTCTTTTTCTTTTCTTTTTTCTTTTTTGTCTTTTTCCTTTTTATCAGTACCAGGGATCGAACTCACAACTGCTTGCTTGCAAGGCAGACGCTTATGCTGCTGAGCTAAATCCCCAGCCCCCACATGGGATAATTTCAATTCCTTTGCATTTACTTAAGCATGTCCTATGAGCCAGTATATAGTCTATTTTGGAGAACATCCCATGTGCAGCTGAGAAGAATGTGTATTCTGATGTTGTGGGGTGGAATATACGTTACTAAGTCCATTTGTTTAGTTTGAGTTATTTCTAATATTTCATTATTGATTTTTTGTCTGGTTGATCTGTCCTTTTGTGACAGGGGGGTATTGAAGTCTCCAAATACAGCTGTATTAGGGCTTATTTGATTTTTCATGTTTGGTAGTAATTATTTTATATAGTTGGGTTTACTGGTATTGCATATATATTTATGTTTGTCATCTCTCCCTCTTAGATTGTTCCCTTTATGAGGACATAGTGACCTTCTTTATCCCTCTTGATCAGTCTTAGTTTGAAATTAACTCTGTCTGCAAATAGAATAACTATTCCTGTTTTTTCTTTTCTGATTCCTGTCACAAGGAGTATTGTTTTCCATCCTTTGACTTTTAGTCTATGAACTTCTTTTTGAATTAAATGTATTTCTTGTATGCAGTATATTTTTGGACCTTGCTTCTTGAGCCATTCTGCCAGTCTATGTCTTTTGATTGGTGAATTGAGACCATTAACATTAATGGTTATAACTGACATGTATTGACTTCTCCTTGTCATGTTATTTTCCTATTGTCGGCTCCTCACTATTCCCCTGCCTCTAACTGTTTGCCTTCCCTGGTGGATTCCTTCTGTTGGAGCTCATGGAGTTGTAGTCCTTTTATATTTTTCTAGAAAGTCCTTCAGAACATTGGGAGGTCTGACGTTTTTCAATTCTGTGTATGTTCTAAGTAGTAGTCCTGTGTCTGAGGAACGACTGGATTATTTTTCCATTCTGTGAGTCGTCTTTTCACTCTCTTGGTGATTTCTTTTGCTGTGCAAAAGCTTTTTAATAAGGTGAGATCCCGGGCTGGGGATTTAGCTCAGCGGCATAAACGCCTGCCTTACAAGCAGGCAGTCGTGAGTTCGATCCCTGGTACCGATAAAAACGAAAAAGACAAAAAATAAAAAATAAAAAAAAAATAAGATGAGATCCCAGTTGTTGGCTTTTGCAGTATTTCCTGTGTGATCGGGGTTTTGTTTGCCTACACCTATGTCTTCAAGAGTTCTACCTGTTCTCTCTTCCAATCAATTTATTGTTTCTCTTTTAATATTTAGATCTTTGATCCATTATGATATTAGTTTACTGAATGGTGATAGACATATGTATCTTTGGCATGTGGAAAGCCAGTTTTTCCAGCACCACTTATTAAAAAGGCTATCTTTCTTCCAGCGAATTTAGGTGCCCCCTTTGTCAAAGATAAGATGGCTGAGTTTATTTGGAGTTGTTTCTGCACCTTTTAATCTGTTCCGTTAATCTTTGGGTCTGTTTTTTCTCCAGGACCAGGCTGTTTTTATCTAAGTAGTTCTGTGGTATAATTTCAGATCAGGGATTGTGAAAGCCCCTGCCTTGCCTTTATTGTCCGAACTGTTTTTGCTATTCTGGGTCTCTTCTGGATCCAAATGAATTTTAGGAAAGTTTTCTATAGTTCTATAAGGTTTGCTAATGGTATTTTGATTGAGATTGCTTTAAATCTATAAAACAATTTTGGGAGTATGACCATTTTCAGTGTTAGCCTTTCTACCCAAGAGCAAGGGACATAGTTCTATTCTCTGCTGTCCTCTTCATTTTCTTTTTTCAGGATATTCAACTGTTTGCAAGTCTGTCTGTTAAACTAGTTCCCCAGGTTACAGTATGCATTCTTAATTTTCATATGTGCTAGAGCCTTTGTCATACAGTATCAGTCCTAAAATGCAGTGAAGTGGGACTGGGGATTTAGCTCAGTGTTTTAAGTGCTTGCCTGGCAAGCATGAGATTGTGAGTTCAATTTTCTGGTACCAAAATAATTTTTTTTTTATCTAAAATGTAGTAAAGTGTTCTGGTCCTCAAAGTACAGTTGAGGGAAGCTTAAGTTTACTCCATATGAATGTACTTCTGTTCAATTTTATAACGAGTTGAGGTCCTTGAAGTTGAAACAGATATTCTCTTTCAACAGCTAAAAACTCTTATCATTATTTTCCAGGTATTTGTGGGTACATTGATTCTGAAACTCTGATTTGGATTTAGGTAATAAAGGTTTTTTTTTTTTTTTTTCCTTAAGGAAGGTGAAAGATCACAACACACATAAAAATTATTGAGCCTGGGATTTAGCTCAGCGGCATAAGCACCTGCCTCGCAAGCACTAGGTCATGAGTTCAATCCTCGGTACCCCCCCAAAAAATTAAATAGCAGTAATCTGTACCAGTATTGCCAGTGGAAAGCAGATATTTTCATACCTTATTTATTATTGAAGATCTGTCGTTGTTACTTATATTTACCATTTTCAGAATTATGGAAGATACATTAGTTTCTGAATCTCATAAATCTTGTACATAGCACTTTAAAAATTATTTGACTATTATATTTTTCAATTCTAAAAAAATGATATATAATTATGCATTCACAAATGTTCTGAGGAGGAATCCAATCTATATGCCTCTCCAGACTGCCAGAGGTGGTCAGATATTTTTTTAAAAAAGGATAGCAATCTTATCTAATAAACCTTGCTTAGAATGTTTTGTTTCTAAATGTTTTTTAAAGGCTATTTCTCTTAGATGAACTATTTCCCCTATTTCTCGTACAGTTATCTTATCCTTACATATTTTTTTAACTGTAGCTGACTCTACTGGAACTCATTCTCTGTACACAACATATAAAGACTATGAAATCATGTTCCATGTTTCTACCATGTTGCCGTACACACCTAACAACAAGCAACAGGTAAGGGACCCTGTGTGGTATGTGTCTTCTCCCCTTATTTCATTTTCCAGACGCCTAAATGGCAAATTAGTAAATCCAAAACCAGAATTTAGCGTTGCACCTGTCACAGCAGCAGGAAGCTTTGTGCTTTATGGAAGTGAGGAATAGCAAATGAGCTGAAAACAAATGAAGAGACACAAATTCTAGGTTAACAGCCAGCTGGATGGCTTTGTGAATTAATCATTTGCTTTTCACTCATAGGGACTAAGGTTTTCATGAAATCTGTAGAGACAGTTGAAATCATGATGATTAGATGACTCTGCAGGGTTGCAGAGAATATACGGGAGCGGAGAAGTTTCTTCTCAAGAGGCCAATGCCACAGAGAGCGGGAGTATGCTATTTCATTTAGATTTCAAAGGACAGGGGGCTGGGGATTTAGCTCAGCGGCATAAGCACCTGCCTTGGAAGCAGGCAGTCATGGGTTCGATCCCTGGTACCGATAAAAAGGAAAAAGACAAAAAAAAAAAAGAATGTTCTAGATTTCAAAGGACAGTGTACTACCTTGGAGAAAAGTCACAGTAAATGTTAGTAGAATTTCAAAAATAATATTCTTTCATAACACTTTCATCAGGGGACAACAAGGAACTTAACTATATGTGCATATCTTTTCACAGTGTGATGACTATTGTTTATAATAAATTTTTATTTTTCTTCCAAAATACCTAAAAGCTGCTTGGCAAGCACAAAGTCCTGAGTTCAATTCCTGGTACCGGAAAAAAAAAAAAAAAAGAAAAGAAAAGAATCTAAAGCCTTAAATGCATAGTGTCTATTGAAATAGTATTAAGACATGAGGTAGCCTTGTAATCCCAGCAATTAGGAGGCTGAGGCAAGAGGATCATTTTGAATTTGAGACCAGCCTGGGCTACAAAGTGAGCTCAAGGCCAGTCTGAACTGTATAGTGAGACTCTGTCTCAAAAAGACAATAATAGCCATGAATTTAGCTCAACGGCATAAGTGCCTGCCTGGCAAGCACATGGTCATGAGTTCAATCTCTAGTACCAAAAAAAAAAAGACAATAATAATAATAAAACATAAGATAGGGGCTGGGGATTTAGCTCAGCGGCATAAGCGCCTGCCTTGCAAGCAGGCAGTCGTGGGTTCGATCCTCGGTACCGATAAAAAAGGAAAAAAACAAAAAAAAATGCAAAAAATAAAACATAAGATAGTAAAATGTGAAAATTAAGAGGTGACAGATTATTGCAGAGCAAAATGGACATTTAGCAGTGTTGTTTTAGAGACTATGTGATAGTTGTTATATTTCAAAATAAATGATACCAAATTGAAATTTAAGGGCATGAACTAACACACTCATTTTCATGGCTATTACCAGAATGAGCTATCTAGTTTTACAGCTAATCTTTTTTGTATATTTTTGTGGGGGAGGTACTGGAGATCGAACTCATGACTTCATGCTTGCCAGGCAAGCACGGTGCTTATGTCACTGAGTTAAATCCCCAGCCTTTACAGCTAATCTTAAAGTACAGATTTTTGTTGTCATCAATTGTTAGACTAACAGAACATGGGCTAGCTGCAGAGTAAATCATATCTACTTCATAAAACTTAACCAAATACTAATCTAACACTTCTTCACTTTGGGTTTGAGTAAATTACAAATATAGGTAACAGAATTTTACCTTTCGTGATTACTAATGTAATCAACAATAGGAAACAAAGCAGTGAATCAGCTATAAGTCTTAAGTAAACCTTCTGTAAGACAAATTCTGATCTGTACTTTATCAACAGTTTTTGGCTTTTGCAAACTCCGGAGTTCTAGATTTCTCTGGGACAAAAGCACCATGCTAAGAAGGGTATAGTGGTCTTCCTATTTTGACTAGTCAATAGACAAAAGAATTAAGAATAGTAACACTCTTTAGAGGAAGATCATTTCTTCTTAGCTTCTTATAAGAAAAAGATGAAATTTAACAGGATAAAATGTTTAATAACAAGATTGGATTATTTTAACTGAGTTGGAGTACTGGGTTGAGTGAGTTGGCATTTAAGTGAACAACTATTTAAATTATTTAATTTTCGGGGATCCATTTAAGGCAGAAATGTTACGGTCCTAAATCAGAATAACAAAGAAATTTGTACTGCTACATATTAAGAAATTTTTATTCTCTAGCAATGAATTATTTTCTTCTTTTAGGTGACTATATTTGGAAAAAATGGAAAAATATTTAAAAATCTTTTGTGCTTGTATTTAAAATATATATATATATAATTTTTCGTTATATAACATAAGATAGAAAAATAGATTTGTTTCTGTTGGGTCCTTTGTTAAGATATTAATGTCAGATATGAGACATTTTGAAAGAATAACATCACATGCAAAAGATACTGTATCTGTGCAAGAATGATACATAATATATAGATAATCAGTATTCTGGTATGTCCAAGAACCTGAGTATATAATAATTTTAATAATTAATATAGTCTTCATAGTAATCAGGTCAAGCCAGCCTTTCTTTGCATAATATCTGCTTATATTATCATGTTTAGAAATGAAATAAACTGCCTCATTAGAAGATATTTTGGGTTGCTTCAGATTCCTGAAGGTAGATGCACACTGCTCAAACATTTGAACTCCCACTTCTCAATCCTAACCTAAAGGCTGTTGTTTCTTCCAGTCAGCTGGCAGCCAATACTAGATCACTGACTATACTGATATGTGATTTGTATACCTTAATGTCATTAGAAAAAATTGTTATAATGGAGGGTTTACATGTCACTTGTAATTGTTTTTCTTTTTAAAGAATTTTCATAAAATAAACATGAGAATACAAATTTTGTTGTTTTTCTTTACACTATTAAATTGTGTTATAAATGTCTCCTGAAAAGATGCTGATTTAGCATATTTTGGTGCCTAAATTTGAAAAATCCCTATATGAAAAACCATTTAATGAAACAGACAGTGTTTTTAAGCAGCTTTCACTGTAACTAAAGAAGCTGTTAAAATTTGAAATTTAACCTGTCTTTAAATCTTTATTACAGTGAGCAATATTGTTAATGCTTATATTCCCAGCTTGTAACACAGAAATCTATCAGAAAACACCTTAACTACATTCTCTTTAAATGAAACAAAGTAAGCCAGAACATAAATTGCAATGTAATTATGTCAGCTGATTTCATTTCTAAAAATCTTCCCTATGGCAAGTTTCTTTCTTATATGAAAATGGAATGAGACTGCAGACTTGGCATAATACGCTGGACTTCTGACTTACTGGTTAGATCTAGTATTTGAATGGCTGTATTTTTATGCAGACGTCAAAATAATGTATTTCTATATTCTTTCTCTGGAGGGAATGATAAGACATACCAAAGTTATTGACAGTAATAGTGTAGATTATCTACCCTTGTTTGTAATGATTAAGTGTAGTTATATAAGGGAATCGGGGAGTTCACAACCATACAGTTAATGTTGGTTGCTTACTTTTTCACACAGCTCCTAAGGAAGCGGCACATTGGAAATGACATTGTAACAATTGTTTTCCAAGAGCCTGGAGCACAGCCATTCAGCCCAAAAAACATCAGATCCCATTTTCAGCATGTTTTCGTCATTGTCAGGGCTCACAACCCCTGCACTGATGGTGTCTGTTACAGGTAAGTGTCAGTTATAGGTCAGTGCTGTAGGAGTGGCCGGGAGTTATTGGCTGGTTGTTGTGCAGAAACCTCATCTAGCTCTATTTTCTGAAGTGGCAATTCGGAAAAAAAAAAGTACTATTTATTTCTCTCTCTCCATAGATTGTACATGCAGTTGGTTGAATTTATACAATGATATAACCTGATGGCATCAGCATTCTCCTTGTTGTTTAAACACCTGCTATTTTCATTTGTACTTTGTCCTTAGGCAATATCTTTCATACATACCATCTGGTCACTCACCAGCTAATTACTTATTGTGCTAAATATATATGGTTTTGGCATGGCAAGAGCAGAAATAAATGATCATAATAAGTAGAGGAAAGAAATTCATTTTTAAAATTATTGTCAGTAAAGCCCAAACCCCTAGTTAATATTTTCTCGACTCACTCTAAGACAGTTCAGTCTTAGGATTTCCTTGATAGACTTACAAGTATACTCGTAAATACATTTTTAAGTTTTATTAAGCATTTGTGGAGATTACTGCCATGTCACTTGTTAACCTAGTTTTTTGAGTGTCCAAATTTAGGCAGATATCCATAGAGGCCACTACTGGAGGGTTTGGTGCTGAAGGGAATAAGAGCTTGTGATGCTGCATTGATGTAGATGGAGTGCCAAGAAGTGTAGGGATGTCCTTGCTTTTGTGAGATATTTTCTGATGTGTATCAAGCCTTTCCAATTATGAAAGTTTAGCATATGTCTAACATTTGAATATGTAGGTTTTATTAATTTGGGGTATTTGTTTTTGAAATGATGGGGTAACCAGCACAGTAAGTGACCAACCCAGACTGACAAGTTGATTTCTAAGATCCACAGCTATCTAATTCTAGGAGTGATACAGGTTAATTCAGAGTAATGCAAGCATAATTTAGAGTAACAGTTCCTGACCTTTTTGGCATCAGGGGCCAGCTTCACATGACAGTTTTCACAGATTTAGGGGGTTGGTAGGTTCAAGAGAATTCAAATGAGTATGCAACTTAGATCACTATAAGGTTTGCAGACACTGTAAGGTTTGCACACCTGTGAGAATCTAACGCTGATAACTTGAGTGATGTGGAACGGCTATAAATATAGATGAAACTTCCCCTCCCACCCTTTGTTCACCTTCTGTTTTGCTGTTCAATTCCGAAGAGATGGGGGACTCCTGATTTAGGTTCCTTTAGATTGCTGCTAACTGTCACCATCCTGTTTCATGTCACAGTGACCACATATATTGAGCTCTTATTACAAGATCAGTATTATTTTATTCATTTGCATGTGTTACCTCATTTAATTTTTAAAACTTCTAAGAGGTACTATGCTTATTCCCATTTTCTCATGATGAGATTGAAACACATTGTGGTCAAGTAACTTTCCAGAGGTAAGCTGACTTGTACTGGGCATTTTCTCAAGAAAGCATCTTGTTAATAGTGTAGAGAAGTGAAAGATCAATAGAGGCTTAAGGTATTAAAATATATTTAAGTAAGGAAGTGGTACTCAGTGTGTGTGTAACACAGATTGGAATGCCATAAATATGCTATAGTCCAGTATCCTAACTGTGTTGCTGTGGCCTCTCTCACATGCTTTAGAAGCTAACTCTTTGCAGTTCTTGCTCCTGATACATAGTTCTGTTCTGGAGCTTCTCAGATGCCAAACCAAGGTAAACATTCAAGACCAGGGAAGTCTGTAATTTTTCAGGCTCACAAAGGGAAACTACTACTGTGGGACCTACTAAGGAAATAGCTTCTGAAAGCTACTTGTGAAGTTAGGGAATGATTAAGTACAGAATATTTGACTACAGTTGAGATAACTATTTGCATTTGAAGATATCTTGAGCATTTGAAATACGCTATCTATTGAATTCATGCAAAAGGTTTCATTCTATTTTGTAGATGGAAAGCTCCAATCCTTTTTTGAATGAACACATAAATTTGGGAATGGGAAAGTACTCAATTTCTTGTAAAGACAGTTTCTTGTTTTAAAGCCTTTATTTAAATCAGCACTGTACAACAGAAATATAATGGAAGCCATATTAATTTTACATTTTATACTATAGCCAGTTTTTAAAAGTAGTAAGAAATAAGTAAAATTAATTTTAACACTCTTTTTACCCAGGTCATATTTTACTTATCAAATAATTATCATTTCAGTGTGAATTAATGTGATTTTTAACATTTAAACTGAAACCTTTATATTGTTTGGACTCTTGGCTATCTGGAATATATTTTAGACTTACAGCACATCTTAGGGTATTAAAACTTGTTGATTGTAACATTCTTTACCATAAACACTCTTACATATATTTACTGCCACCTACTTGATATGTGAGTTGTGGAACAAAAAAGCATCATTTTCTCAAGAAAACATCTTGTTATGATGTAGAGAGATAAAAGGTCAATAGAGGGCTGGGGATTTAGCTCAGCGGTATAAGCGCCTGCCTTGCAAGCGCTTGGTCATTAGTTCGATACTGATAAAAAAAATAAAGTATTAGAAAGGTCAATAGAAGCCAAAGTTATAAAGATATATTTAAGTAAGAAAGTGGAATTCGTGTGTGTTTTAAAGCTCAGATGTATGGAATTCAATGGCAACAACAGGAATAATTCTAGGAGTTGTCAGTAACATATGCAGAAGCATAGAGACAGCAAAGAGAATAAAAAGCAATTAGGAGGCTCCTAATGGAGGGAAGAAAAGTAGGTAGCAGAGGCCTTTGGAATGCTAGACCATCAGAGTAACCTTATGTAAATGGGGTTTTAGGAAAATTTTCCCAGGGTCACCATGCAAGGTAATTTGTAACAGAGAGATAAATTTGGAGGTTTTTGGTAGCCATTTATTTTTCACTAGTTATCTTACCCAGTACTCATCTGTGCTAGGCACTGTCCTAGAAGGACAAAGCAGAATTTCTACAGTGGATATAGAGATAAAGTCTTGAAATAATGTGGTGCTGTACCCCTCTTAATAACTGAGTTTATATAAGAAAAACTGAGTAATTCCAGAAGCCAGTTAACCTTGAACAGTCATTCTATAGCCAAGAACTCAGAAATCACTGACTAAACCTGAGTATTAAAGTTTACCCGACACTGAAAAGAGCCCTCCAGTCTCTATTATTTGATTTGTATCATTGTAGTGAGCTTAATTTGCCTGGTCCATCTGATAGAGCAAATTAGAAATAACAAATCAAAAAGATAAAGGAGCTGTCAAAGGACAAGCGTCAATGTGTTTTATTGTTACAAGGGATGCAGAAAACTATTGAAAGGTACAAATTCAATAAGTGTAGCAGTCTGGGGGTCATTTGACTTCAGAGCAAATAACCAAATATACTTCACTTATCCTTGAGGGCTTGTTTTGTAAAAGCACAGTGTAAGATGATACCGTTTCTCCAAAACTAATGTATTAATGGATCTAGCATTTATTATCAGAGGCTGGTAACACCACAGAAAGAGGTAAATGTCTGTTTCATGATGGAAGAATACAACCTCACATATAAATTAGTCTTGTCCTATCTTCCATAAATTAAATCTGAATCTGATCAAGCCTCTAAAAAAGCCCAGTTAAATGAGAAACACAAAAGACCAGAGAAATATTTGTAGTCAACAAAATTCAGACTTTTCAATGATAGACAACAGCTCAATTTCTTCAATAACTAAACTGGAAGAAATAAGAGAGTAAGAGAAGTGAAGGAAATATTACAGAATAAAAATTTTAAAGATAATTATTGGCAGTGTGTGGACCTTGTGTAGATCCTAATTTAGACTAAAAAGACCACAAAGAAAATACTAAGATATCTTAAACAATTGTAAATTGGACCATTGACTCCCTCTTTGATGGAATTAAAGAATTATTAATTTTAAAATTAGGATAGAAATCAATCAGCTGCTTTGAGATTTTTAGAACACTTGTTAATTGTGGTCAGTATCTATGTCTAGAAAGGTAGGGCTATGCATTCTGTCAGAAAGCTTTCTCTTTTCAGTGGTTAAAATAAAATAGATGTTGAAGAGGCAGTATGATTTACTGCAAAAACCACATGGAATTAGATCCAATTGTGAAGCCTCTTAAATTGTAAGATTCTTTTCTGTGCCATGGAAGATTGCTTTACATCTATTTAAGAGTTAAGTATTCATTGTGGACAAGGGAGTGTGTATGTATATATTAAATGTCCTGTCCGCTTTTCTTCTCTCTCTCTCTTTTTAAAGATATTTGCAGGGTTCCTCAAGAAGAAATATTGGGCCAGGGGAGCCAAGCTGTGTCAAGTGGTGAACATTTTTTTTTTTTTAACAAAAAGCCAAACCACAATTAATCAGCATCTCTATTACCCAATGGAGTCAACCTTTTTAAGACAAAAATCTGAATATTGTTACTTAGGAAAAAGACTTTCTAGCAGAGCCTGCTGCAAGAGATCCTTCAGGTCTAGCAACTTCTGTTTCACCCTCTTTTGTCTCTTTTACCAGCGCCTCTCCTTACTCTTAGCTTACTTTTGTAGAGCTGCTCCATCTGTCCAGAACACCAGTGCTCCGTCTTGTGAACACACTGCCCTCAGGGCTGGATTCCTCATCTCACACATACCTGCCTCTCCCTCATCCTCTGGATTGCTGCTTTTCTTTTCACCTGGAATATTCCCCTGACCACCTAGGATTAAAGTGCTTACTGAAATGCTCCAGCGATCCTGGTTAACTGGATCGGTTAACTAGAAAGGTTAACTTCTAACCTGGCACTGTCCAACGGCTTTATACAAATCATCTCTCTTTGTGAGCACTATCTGTTTGTTCCCTAGAGAAGTGAAGAATTTGTACCAGCTATTCACATAGATGTAAGCACGGGATGCCTTCCTGGCCTCTCTGTCTTTCTCAAAGATTTTGGAGAATATATTTTTAAGTTAAAATGAATACAAGTATTATTTGGTAGAATGCAATATTGAGTGAATTTTAGGATGAAATTCAAGTCCAGGTGTGATGTACCATCACACTCAGGAGTTGAAGCAGATGTATCAAAAGTTCATTGCCAATGTGGGTAACTGAGAGCTTGACATAGTGAAAAATTTTTATAGGGCTAGCATTATACCTCAGTGGTGATGTGCCTGCCTTGCATGTACAAGGCCCTAGGTTTGATCCTTAGTACCACACACACACACACACAAAAATTGTTTTGGAAGAATTTGAAGACCATTATCTTTAAATTTCTTTCTGTTGTTAACTTTTTCCATTTTCCCAACTGTCAAAATTCCATCACCTATATTTTTTGGTCCTCAACATTTCTGGCTGAATAAGGCATGGCTATAAAATAATTGTAAAGAATATAGTATTTCTAAGATACACTATTGCTAATTAAATAAAGTGTGGTAGGCAATGGTTCTTTAAAATTTGCTTTTAAAAATAGCAGGAACCACATATAATTATGTCTTAGGTATCTGTGTATAGCAAACTGAAATGCTAGGACAGGATTTTTTTTTAATCAAAGCAAAATATTCTGTTTAGCATAAAATAAGCTTTTTTATCAAGAGTTCAGAATTTGTGGCATCTAAATGAATGAGTTTTTAACCTTGCAGAAACCTTGGAAGTTAGATGTATTCAAAATAAAACAATCTGAAAAGAGCATTTTAGGGTATCCTCCTCATCCTCTGTAAGGATTCTTGTTCTTATAAAGCAAAGCTGATTTTACTGTCTGTATCATTTACCTCATAACATGGTGAATCACTGATAATTACATGTTAAAGATTCAGTACTTTTCCTCACAGTTCTTTCTAGAGGCTTCTGATTATTGTTAAGTTCTCAGTATATATTTGTCTAAAGTTATATCACTTAATAAAAAATCCTGTAGAAAGCCAGTGGATATAGTGAGCAAATAGATAGTGCTCACAATCACACCCTATGCAAATCATTTTCCTCTCCTTAGTTAAGATGAAATCACAGTTGTTTCTTGAGAAAGAATAATGATTTGAGTAAAATTAACAAGAAAACAAATTGCCAATTTTAAAATGAAAGATAGTAAATATTTCTGTGTCTTTATAAGATTCTTCTTGGGACACCTAGCAAATCTAGATTTCAGCATCTTTTGCTTGACTTCAGAAGAAAACAACATAATCAAATTAAAATTATACAGCTGTCAGAATTTAAGCCAGATGGTTCACAATAAACAAGAAAAATTACCATTCTAATAATGGTGTAATTAGGCTGTAGTACATGTGCACAGAGGATTCTGTGAATTTTCTTCTCCATTAGAAAATGCTGCCCCACCTCTCAAAAAGTGAACCACATAGTCTTTTTGTTTGTTTAAACAAAACACATGGGAACCAGTGGTTAGCAGCATCTTCTCAATTATATTTTGCTGAAGGGTAGCTTTTCTACTTCATCAAAATATAATAAGTTGTAGTCAGTTTTCAAAAAATAAAGCTAAATAACTTAAAGCATATTGTTTTTAAAACATGCAACAGAGCTCTTTAATTTAAAAGGTATACAATCTCTGATTCTGTTCTTTTTATTCTGGGACTTCACAGGAAAAAATTTTATATTGCTCTCTCAATACCTAGTACAATTGCATAATTGACTTACTTTTAAATCATTTGGAAAGACTGCTGTGTTAGTGTCATTTCCAGCCATCTCCTGCCAAATTTGGCTGAGGCTATCACATGGAATCTTGGACCATGGTTTAAAAAACAAAAAACAAATTTAAAAAATTCTCCATTTCCACTTAACTTCTCATCTTGTTGCTTAACAGAAAGTTATTATTTTTCTCTTTGAGGTTATTATTAATATTTGTAGGATCCTTAGGCTTGGTTTTAGTGATAAAATGGAGAAAAAATGATGAAAAGATTTTCTTATGCTAGTCTTGCATTAAAAAATGGGAAAAGGAAAATATGTTTCTCAAAAATAGATTGTCACAATCACATACCAAAAATAGATACTTGGAGAAAAGAACAGCTCAGATTAAAAATACTATTTTAAAGTGGTAGCGTGTACCTGTAATTTTTGCACTTCTGGAAAGCTAAGGCAGGAATATTGTGAGTTTGAACCTCATTTGGGCAATTTAGCAAGACCCTGTCTCAAAATTACAAGCAGGCAGGCTAGGATATAGCTCAGTGAGGAAGCCCTGGGTTCTATCTCTACTGGCACAAGGAAAAAATAAAATATAAAGCACTGTTACTATTACATAAAAATCATAATCATTTCATTACTCTGCATTTTTATTTTAAAGTTATGCTTTTAATCCAGTTACATAATGCTTCATACATAGATCAACAAATAATGTATTTACTTAAAAATTTATTCTTATTCCTTTTATGTGGGGGTGGGGGTGTGGGTGCTATCCAAGGGAAGTACTTTACCACTGAGCTAAACTGCCTTTGTGAAAATGTATTTTATTCTTCTGTTATGAGACTAAAAAATATTGACATGTCACTTTCCTTTTTCTGTTTCCTTCAGTGTGGCTGTCACCAGGTCTAGAGATGTGCCTTCCTTTGGACCTCCCATCCCTAAAGGAGTCACTTTCCCCAAATCAAACGTATTCAGGGACTTTCTTTTGGCCAAAGTGATTAATGCAGAAAATGCTGCTCATAAATCAGAAAAGTTCCGGGCCATGGCTACTCGAACTCGCCAAGAATACCTGAAAGACCTAGCAGAAAAGAATGTTACCAACACCCCTATTGACCCTTCAGGCAAGTTCCCATTTATTTCTCTGGCCTCCAAGAAGAAGGAAAAATCTAAGCCATATCCAGGAGCTGAGCTTAGTAGCATGGGGGCCATCGTGTGGGCCGTCCGGGCCAAAGACTACAACACAGCTATGGAGATAGACTGCCTTCTGGGTGTCTCCAGTGAGTTCATTGTCCTCATTGAGCAGGAAACAAAGAGCGTGGTTTTCAATTGTTCCTGCAGAGATGTTATAGGTTGGACTTCAACTGATACCAGCCTCAAAATCTTCTATGAGCGAGGGGAGTGTGTTTCAGTGGAGAGTTTCATTAGCAATGAGGATATCAAAGAAATTGTCAAAAGGTTGCAGGTGAGTCTTTTCCTTCCACACATTCATGTACAGTTTCTCTTTCATAAAGTTTTCAGTGCAGACTAGAGCCGGAAACTCCTTGGTGAATTTATCTCAACTTTGTGTTTTCTAATATTTCTCAGAAATGTAGCAGAACAAGGCAGGAAGAAGTCATTTACTGTGTGTTTGTATTAGAAACTCACTTGCACCTGCCCTGATCCCACTGCCTTGGTTACCAATGTAGCCCAGCTAGTCTGGTGGTGTTGAAGAGTTGTCTTGAGTATCTGCTGTTGTGACTTAAGGGCAAATTGAGTAGCAAAATAGTTTTCTCTTTACTGCCAGCTCCCTGTAAGTCTCCCTTAGAGGTTTCCCTTTAGCTTTAGGTAAGCCATTGAGCTCCTTAGATGCAATACATATGCTCCGTCTGGCTTAATGAACAGAAACTAATGAAGGAGAAATAACTAGATGCTCTTCAGTTGGCTAGTATTCAGAAAGAACTCTACTTGCAATAATTTTCTCCTTCTATGTACATCACTTAATACCTTATGGCATTAAACTCCAGTGCTTTTGATTTCCAGTTTGTTTCAAAAGGTTGTGAATCAGTGGAGATGACTCTGCGAAGAAATGGTCTAGGACAGCTAGGATTCCATGTCAACTATGAGGGCATTGTCGCAGATGTGGAGCCCTATGGCTATGCCTGGCAGGCAGGGCTGAGGCAAGGAAGCCGACTGGTGGAAATCTGCAAGGTGGCTGTGGCCACCCTGAGTCATGAGCAGATGATCGATCTCCTGAGGACATCTGTCACTGTGAAAGTTGTCATCATCCCCCCCCATGATGACTGCACCCCACGGAGGTAGGTCTGAGTTGACAGCTGCACTTGAGGCAGGGTTTATGTGCCCTGTGTTACATCTCCTGATGGGTGGGGAAACAGAATTGTGAGAAGCAGATTACATATGTTCAAAGCTCCTTCCATAGAAAGTCTGATTCAGGATGCAGCTGCCTTTTGGTATGTGACACAGCAGCTAGAAAGAATGACAGACTGGGCCAGTCCTAAGATTCACCTTGCTGGGTTTATAAAGTTGCTGCAACAGATATAGAAATTTGATAAACAACCATTTTTAGTGCCTCATACCAATAGTCAAGAAACATTGAACAGTTAACAATAAAAGATACTCAGCATCTCAGACTGTCTAGTTTTCTTCTTTTATGTTCCACAACATTCATATTTCCCTTTTTTACTCCATTCTGTCCAAAACTGCAAGTTTTGGTCCTTTCCTTTGAGAGAGGGCAGAAGAACAAGCTGCTAAGACACCAGGAGCAGTATCAGCTTATTTGAAGCCAATTCCCAGCAAATGCAGTCAGGAAAAAACCTAACTCATATATAGATGACCCTACAGAAATAAGGGCTCAAAGCTTTTACCCCATTCTGTCCAAAACTTGCAGATTATGTGCCAAAGTCACAATCTAGTGAAAAAATCCTTTACTCTGAAAATCTTACATACTTTCATTTGCATGACTGGGTTTCTCAAAAAATCAAAGTATTATATGCAGAACTTTTTATTTCAGCTATTTTTTGATGGGAAGATGTTCTAAACCTACCCTAAACAGGTCTGTCTTGGTGGGATCTTTTTTTTTTTATCGGTACCAGAGATCGAACTCACGACTGCCTGCTTACAAGGCAGGTGCTTGTGCCGCTGAGCTAAATCCCCAGCCCCCAACAGGTCTGTCTTAATTAACTAGGTATGATGAAGCTTGTTCACCTTTTTTGGTTCATCATCATCTATTTTCTGACACCCTGAAATTCAAAACATCACTCACTGTGGCTCAGAGAGACAGTGGGGCTCTTTCTTAGAACACTCTAGATACCTTGCATCCTTCCAGTTGTCACCTGCCCACTGTTCTTTGGTGTCTCGAGAGATAGTTATGAACTAGAGGAAATAATCAAGTTTGATGAATACCAACCTTAGCTACACACAATTAAGAGTTAATAGATACTGGTCTAAACAGACTGTCATCAAAAATGAAGCCCAGAGACGTTGAGATATGCCATCTTACCTGCTCCTAGAAGGTCTTCCCATACTTCTAGGTTCCAAAATCTGTGTGGACAGTGGAGGGGGAAATAGGTTGGTGTGCATCTGGACAAAATAGGGCAACATTACTGACAGTGAAATTATGCATAGTTATTAGGCTACATTTATCATTCTGGTAGGTTGATAAAAAATGTATATTGAATATTTTTACCTTAATGTACCAAGTGCAGTGAGATAATACAATGAGGTTATAGTATTGTTTTTATTTTAAAGGAGACAGACTCAGAAATGTTAGTAACTTCTTAAGCTCAATTGACAAAGTTAGAATCCAGCCCCTGTTCCTGCTGTTCCGTATGCTCACACAGACCCTTGTCTTTACACACTAGAGTGAGTTGTGAATTGTTTGCAGGGCTTGGGAGGGCTAAATTTGTAGCCAAAGTGTGAATATTCCCCATGTGGTCAGCTTCAAACTGTGGCAGAGCCACATCTCCTGCAGGCCACTATGGGTGACACTAGGACACACTGGGTGAATGAGCCATCTGCCTGCCTCTCCCAGCATGGTACCTGTCATCTCCTCATAGCCAGCCCAGCTGCCAGCCTGTATCTTCAGGGTGCTGGGATGGGAGGCTGGATGATGGGTCATTATTGGACATGAGTCCACAGCCATGACCTTCCTCTGCCCCTCTCTCTGTGATTTCTGTCTGAAAAGCCACTTCAGACCTTTTGAGCAGGTGGGACATGGTGCATTTGGAAGACTGAAAACCTGCCCTCCCCCTCTAGAAATGACTTCAGAAAGAGCTGTTGAAGCATTAACACCTTGTTACAGTTTTCAACAAAATAAGATAATGCTCTTCTGTCATTTTTCTTTCTCCTCCGCACTTCACACTCCCACTGCTGTTTTCCTAGCAGCTAATTACTCTGTTCTTTGACTAGTCACTCTCCTCTTTCTCAGCCTTTCCTTTTACCTGCAGCACCAGAAGGAGACAGGGCAGGCCTTCTCCAGGACCCCAAGGACGCACTAGTCCCTAAGTTTCTAGGTTACGTGAGAGGGTTATTCACTTTGAAAGGACAGCTTTTTCAATTACATAAAATAGGCCTTTTTTTTTTCTTGTAAAATAAGCAATTGTTTCCAAATGCAGGTTTTTAAGAAAAGGGCCAGAGTGTATAAGACAGAAAATGATATCACAGAGTTCTAATGGATCATTGAACAGAACTGTTTGCAGTATCATTGCTGGAATGTCCACTCTACAAACTTTAATTCTGTGACTTGAACAATTATTTCTAAGATGGCAATATGTAATCTATTAACTAGTGATTTCCTACTGCGCATTTTTTTTCTTCTGTAAATCTGTATAACTTGTACCCTTCACTGTTTTTTTTTCTTTTCTTTTCTCCTTAAATAAAAATTAAAAAAAAAAAAAAAGAAAAGGGCCAGAGAAAATAAAGTCCAATTTCTGAACTCCTACTTTGTGCTTTGGGCTTTTAAAAAAAAACTTCTTATAGCAGCTTTATGACCATTGAAGTGATGAGGAAAATAGAAAATGAGGTTTGCAGAGTACAGTAGATGCCTCCAGAGTGAGCAGACAAGCAGGAAAAAAAGCTCAGTGTAGGTGTTAGGGGGTTATCCAGAGTAAACCCTCATCTTCAGATACCTGGGTCTTGAAAGCGTCTTGATAAGGAAAAATACCTGGTTAGAAGATTGAGTTATTCTGGGGGCTGGGGATTTAGCTCAGTGGCATAAGCACCTGCCTTGCAAGCAGGCAGTCGTGAGTTCGATCCCTGGTACCGATGAAAAGGAAAAAGACAAAAAAAAAAAAAAAAAAAAAGATTGAGTTATTCTGAATGGTACTGTACGGGAGTGGTGAACCTATACTCTGTGAGGCCACTAGCCTATAGGTTTTATTTATTTTATTATTAGTTTTTTTTTTTTTTGTTTTTTTTGTTTTTTTTTTTTTTTTTAGTGCATGTTTGCAGCACATAATGCTAACATTTATTGTGTGGAGTTGGTAGTGTCCCCTCCCCCTCCTCTCTATCACCTTCCCATCATGAAAGCAATCAAGCTAAAAACAAAAACGTTAATAAAATGACCAAATTACTTTATGATGGTGATTTGGGAATCAAAGAATGTTTTAAATAAAAACAGATCACAAGGGTTTTTTTTAATTTGAAAGTGCCAAACCATTCTACTGTTAAAATTCATCTGGCTTGGGGCTGGGGATTTAGCTCAGCAGCATAAACACCTGCCTTGCAAGCAGGTGGTCGTGAGTTCAATCCCCGGTACCGATTTAAAAAAAAAAAAAAAATTTTCATCTGGCTTAAATCCCATTTGTCAGATGAAGAGCTTTGGGTTGAAATAAATTGCGTATTTTTTCTGAATCAAAGTCACGTGGCTTCTTGGCACCAAACTTATCCTTAAGATAAGTGAAAGCTTTGAGGTGTTCTGTTCACTATATGTACTTTTCAAACATTTCTCCAGATTTCATAGTGCCTATATAGTGAAATGAGAAGAAATGAATGAAAGAGATAGAATGACTTTTCAATTACCTTATGATTTCAGTGGGTCACCATTTGTCACTTTTAGCACCAAATTGTAATTTTTACTGAGCACACTTAGTTGAGTTTATAAAAGTTGTTGATTTGAGAGGAGGTCATAGACTAGTCCTGAGTGAAAGATGATAGTCACTACAGATGAAGGACGTCTAGAGAGCTGAAATGACTTGATTAAGATTAACCATCAAGTAGACAGATTTCGTGGATTTAACTTCTGTTCTGCCACTTCATGGCTGTGTAAACTCTGGAGCAAGTTAATCTGTCTGGGCCTCCATTTCCTTACCTACACAGTGGAGATAAAAATAGTATTCACCACATAAAGTTGGTGCCATGTGGCTAGATTGTGCTCAGCCCATAACATATTATATGTATTCTTATAGTTAGTTCAAAAAAATTGTTTTTAGTACTGGGGATTCTTTAACAATAAATTTTAGTTCAGATAACAAAGATAATCCTTTCTTGAACATTCAATGCATGGCATTAAAAGCCAACTCTTATCTTTGTTCCTCAGTGTACTGCACACTTCTTGGTAGTTGTATCATCCTCATGTTTTACAGTGATAAAAGCCCAGAAAGCCAGCAGGTAGTTACCCTTGCCATCAGAAATGGTGGGTGGCTGATGTTCAGCTCAGTGTGAAATGTGATTCAGATTTAAAGGAACATAAAATACCTTAAATTTTTAAAATTGTTATAATAAAAACTTTATATATTGGGTTAAATACAATGTATTAGTAAGTTAATTTCACCAGTTTTGCTGTGTTTTCTAATGTGGCTACTAGAAATTTTAAAATTACATTTGTGGCACATATGTGTAACTCATACTTCACTTGTCCTGGATGGCATTGTTTCAGCCTCTTCCTACAGTGTCTCTAAAAGTGTCAGATGAAAAGTAGTTGGTACTCTGTTAACACCTTCTTTCCAGATTTTTCCCTGTGTTTTCCAGTCCTTGAAATTCCTTTTAGGAAAGAAAATCATTTTTCCACTTAAGTGATGAGATTTAAATCATCAATTGAGCTAATGTTTTAGTGAGAGTAGAATTTGTCTGTCAAACAAGTTCATAACAGATTATATCTCTCCTCAATGTTGGGCATAAAGAATAGAAAGTGAACTGCAGATTTCCTGAGAGTTGGAATTTTAGATGATGGCACAAAATGAGGCTAACGTGACAAGATATTTGTACCTGTGAGTAAGTTTACACAGGCTACTGTCTGGGGCAGCCCTGCTATGAAAAATTTCTTTCTTTCTTTTTTTTTGAAAAAAAGTGAAGTCTGATTTCAGATTATGCTTTTTCCCTAGAGATTTAATAACTCCAGCGTTTCTATAACTGATTTCGCCCCCTCCTAAGCTAAATTTGGCTGGCTGTTCAAATTCTAAGATTTCTCCCAGTTTATTCCTTGACTCATATGATCCCAACAAATTGAAAACTACACCCTCTCTTAGATCCCCAATTTGTAATACACAATGGAAGACATGCAAAAATAGTTTGTTTCCTTCAAAACTACCTGCTCATGGTGTCTGCTCTTGCCCAGCTGTCCACCCCTGCACCCATCTCCTATAACTGCTATCTTTCGGGGTAGCCATGGTCCTAATGGCTTGTACTTCAACCTTTAGTGGTTGGGATTGAATAAAGGAAAAGATGAACGTTATAGTTCCTCAAATTCTGTTTTTTAAAAGGAAAATAATTGTAGAGCCCAAGGATTAGAAACAAAGGGTGAAGTTTTGGATCCATTTTAAGTGTTAATGAAAGTCAGTGTGGGGGCTGGGGATTTAGCTCAGTGGCATAAGCGCCTGCCTTGCAAGCAGGCAATCCTGAGTTCGATCCCTGGTACCGATAAAAAGGAAAAAGACAAAAAATAAAAAATAAAGAAGATTTAAAAAAAAAAAAAAAGAAAGAAAGTCAGTGTGGTTGTCTCTACAAGAAAAGGCAGTATTAATTGTTTTTCTCCTTGTGCTCCCCCTGCCCCCATAGGAGTTGCTCTGAAACCTACCGCATGCCAGTGATGGAATACAAAATGAATGAAGGTGTTTCATATGAATTTAAGTTTCCCTTCCGAAACAACAACAAATGGCAGCGGAATGCCAGTAAGGGGCCTCATGCACCTCAAGTTCCAGCCCAGGTGCAGAGTCCCATTACCTCAAGGTTGAACGCTGGGAAAGTAGATGGGAAGATACCTCCCCCAGAAAGAGTCGCTAACATTCCTCGAAGTATCTCCAGTGATGGGCGCCCACTAGAACGGCGGTGAGTGTTCCTCCAAAGATGGCCTGCTCTGAGTGTCTGCCCCAACTTTAAGTAATACCAGACCCATAAACACTAGCTTAGGCTCTCCAGTGTGATACTAGGAATCAAGAATGAAGCCATTAGGATAAGCAAGGGCATCTCAGCAACACTTTGGTCCTGAGCAAGGGTATTTGTGGTTTGCTCTTTAATTTCTATGGGATTATTAACAGAAACCATCACTTCGTTGGTACCAGTTGCTATGAATTATAAGTTAGCTAATTTTTCAAAGTGATAATAACTGTATTATCATCTTTATCCATCTTCATAGCAACACAATAGGAACAACAGAATGCGGGTATTTAGTTGAATATCTGTATTTCTGTCATAATAAATTCTGAGAGTGAAAACTTGAAACTACATTTTTCTCTGCTTTGAAAGTAGAAGAATAAAAATAAATACATTTTAAAAGAAAGGAAAAAAGTAGAAGAAAATAATGGAGAGAAGGTGATACAGGAATAGGTTAAAACATTCAACTTTAAATTAAATGTGCAAAATGAAGGGAGACTAAGGAATCCCAGAATGCAAGGAACCAAAATTTTGTCATTCAGTTGCAAGTCACTGAAGATTGCTTTATAAGAAGTAACTGGCTAACTGTGCCCATGTATTCGGTAGCACTTTCTGTCTTGAATTAATGGTAAGATGCAGTACTTTGAATTAATCTAGTCCTACAATTAAACTAGATTAAGTACTTTCAAAGTATAAATAACAATTGGCTATTAAATTTTAAATAATTGCTTTGTAAATGTAGTTACTCTATGTATTCCCATAGAAAAGACATTCCATTATTGTGATTGTGGAACTGGAAGTAGTGGCACACGTCTATAATCCCAGCACTCAGGAGGCTGAGGCAGGAGTTTTATTGCATATTTAGAACCAGCACGAGCTGCATAGTGAATTCAAGGCCATCCTGAACTGCATAGCAAGACCCTATTTCAAAAAGATAAAAAAAAAAAAAATCTGATTGTCATATGCTGGAAGCAATCAATTTCTCTATACACTGACCTTTTCCCGTCGCTTCTGCTTGTCTTGATTACGTCTTGGAATTAATTGTGTGTAGAGGGGGTAAACGTTTTTAGAGCTGGTAACAAGCGAGAAATTTGTGTTCTAAGAACAGTGGAAGGTGGAAGAGAGCCCGTGTAGAAGCCAGGAAATGATCCTAATTCATGTGAGCAGCTAAAACCAGGCTTGGCAGAAACAGGATGTCAAAGATGGTGTCCCTAGATCTGTGAATAGTCATCAGTACACTTGGGGAGGAAAAAGCTGAAAGCTGAGAAGCCATACTATAAAACTTTTGATTTTTTAAATGTTCATCTAGGGGCTGGGGATTTAGCTCAGCGGCATAAGCGCCTGCTTTGCAAACAGGCAGTCGTGAGTTCGATCCCCGGTACCGATAAAAAAGAAAAAGACCAAAAGACCAAAAAAAAAAAAAAAAAAAAGTATTTAAATGTTAGTCTAGCTTTTGAGCTATTCTATTAAAACATTGTCACTTAACCATGTTGAAACACTAGGATGCCACATGGAATTTATAAAAGTATACGAAGTTGTCCAGAATTCTTCATTTAATCATGGAGATTTGTTTGCAGAGCTTTGCTTTTATCCCAATAAAAGGTTCTTCACCCAGAAGTGTGTCATTCGTGTTGGTATGCCTCTTGCTTGCATTATTTTTGAGGAAGAAAAGCATCCAAGTGAGCTCTGAATAAATTCTTTGTTCTACACATTCCAAACTTGGCTCTGAAGTGTGTGTTAATGGACTTCATGATTTGACCCACATTTTAAAAGATAAACCTAAGAAGCCATTATTTAAAGGAGCTTCCATTGTCCGACTCAATGCTGTTTTCTTCCTCTGCAGAACATTCTGGAGGCCTTTACAAGTGCAACTGATTGAATCATTTTCTTTGTGCAATATTCTGTATGACAACATAATAAAGTGTATTTTGATTCCATGTTGAATATAATTTCTGCAACTGAAGCTAAAGTTTGGTGTTGAGTAAAAAAAAGCACACTGATCTCCAGATGTGAAAATAATTTTTGTAGCTGTCATCTTGCAATGCAAGCAACTTTGAAGGGTAGGGAACACATGACTCCCCCGTACTCCCCGCCCCACCCCCAGTCCCCCATATGAGCTTCTTTGAGAGTAGCCTGTGACTCTCAGCTGTAGAAATGGAAGAGACAGAAGTGAGGCAATGGCTTAGGGGATACTTAACCCCAACTCATTGCTCTCCTCAGGCATCTTACTTCCAGGTAGTCTTTGAGTACATTAGAATTCTGTATTTTAAGAAGAGGGGTTTAGAAAGAGCTAGTGAAATCTCAGCCCTATGCTTTCAGAATATTAGGATTGTTTGGGACATCTTCATTTTGCAGTGCATGGTAATTAGATAATCTTATTTTGTTAAAGTTAGACTTTGGTTTCTTGTCCTATTATCTCCAATTTTTAGTAATATACTTTTTATTCTTTAAATTATAAAGAGAAAGTGCTGTGATTTTAGGAAGATATGGGTATAGTGTGGACTCATGACGTTCTTTAGGAATGTTCCTTGAATCCGTCATGAATCCCTAAACTCTTCCTGAAATGTAGTAGAATGTAACTGAAAAGTTCAAGCATTCCCTTAGTAGTCTTACTGAGAGCAAAACGCCTCACCTGACATGTGGAAGTGATCTCCTTATCTGGGTGATTGATACCTATTTAAAATTTCAAGCCCTGATGTTTATACCTAGGGTGTGGTTGCATTTGTTTTGTCTTTTGTCTTGAGATCTGTTTGTTTTTCACCATAGTTGCAAGGTATTTGGACTCTGTGCTGACTGGTTGCCTATAATACTTTCATCTTTGTATTTTGAGAACCAACTACATGCTCTACCCTTAATAGGCTCCCAGTGAATAACTAGGGACAGAAATTCATCAATTTGAAGAAAATAAATGAATTTCTCTTTATAAAAATTAAATGATGAAGGTAAAGCAAAATATTTTTTAGATGATAAAACTGTAACATTAAAACTAGGGCGGGGGGGGTGGGGCTGGGGATTTAGCTCAGCAGCATAAGCGTCTGCCTTGCAAGCAGGCAGTCGTGAGTTCGATCCCTGGTACCAATAAAAAGGAAAAAGACAAAAAAAAAAAACTAGGGCTGGGGATTTAGCTCAGCAGCATAAGCGCCTGCCTTGCAAGTGTGTGGTCATGACTTCGATCCCCGGTACCGATAAAAAAGAAAAAGACCAAAAAAAAAAAAAAAACTAGAGCCAGGTGTAGTGGTGAATGCCTATAATCCCAGTATTCCCGAGGCTGAGATAGGAGTCAAGGCCATTGTGGGCCACATGGTGAGTTCAAGACTGGCCTGAACTACATGGTAAGACCTTGTCTCAAAAATAAATAAATAAATAAATAAATAAATAAATAAATAAATAAATCTAGTCCTAAAGTAGAACTTTCTTTGGTCTTCGTTGCCTACGTTTAGCATACTATTTTTAAAGTATATTATTGATGAAACTCACCTAAACTGACTTTGAAGTTCTTAATTAACTCTCCTACATAAGATTTTAGTTGAAATTACATGACAGTGTGGTATTTGTCATCAAGATAAGCAGATAAAAATGCAAAAGGCTGTGCTTTACTAGAAGCCACTAGGCCCTTTTTCTTGTCATGGGAGCTAACACACTCTGCCATCTACTTCAGGGTTGGAGTTGATATGATTTGCAGATTCACATTGTTAGATAATGTTACATTGATGGTTCCTATTCACACATTTAGGATATGGCATACCTCTAGCTCTTTCTCATTTACACAGTGCAGTGTGGTTCCCAGCTCAGGGTTCCGAGTTACTAAGTAGTTGTTCCTTGAGCTGATTTGTACCCAGCCCAGGGAAGCTATCTCTTTGGGGCTTCTTCCCTGCAGAGCTGCCTGGATTGCAGTACTGCCCACTTGCGAACTTAGGGCTATCCAGAGTACAGGCTGTGCAAAGTAGGCTGTTTAGGGATATAGAAAGAGCTTCCAAGTTTGGACTGCTGAGTCCCTCTGCAATCTAGTCTTGGTAAACATGGTAAGAGTCAGTGTGCTTTCCAGGAGCAGGTTGTGTTGTCTTTAATGTTGATGTCATGGTTAACTTTGGCAAGACAAAAGATGAATTCGGAATGCCTAGTGTGCTAAATATAATCATGGTGAACTGTGCATTAGCAGAAGCCATAGGAAATTCTACAAAAAAATCTGTACAAATTAGAGGGACCTTAAATGTGTTCTTTTGTTTGTTTGTTTTTGGTACTGGGGATCAAACTCATGACCCTGGAACTTGCCAGGCAGGCACTTATGCTGCTGAGCTAAATCCCCAGCCCTTAAATGGTATTTTTAAAAGCATTTGTATTCTGGTAAGTACAATAAGATGTTGTATGGTAGTGGGGACTCACATGTCACTAAAGAGTTATACTCCTGTATATACCTAACAGCTGGGTCTTGTCTTCCTACCTAGCTTAAGGAGAGGCCTCTCTGGGAGGCCTGCCCTGATCCTGCCTCATGGGGTCCCAGGTCTTTCTTGAACACTCTCCCCATTCACATACCAGATATGGTGCAAAATCATCTCAAAAGCCAGATCTAACATGTATTCTCCTGTAACCTTCCTGGAAAAAATGGTCCTCTCATGAAAATCCCTGTAGATGGTGACAGAGTGGCAGGTTGGGATCTACCTAATCTTTTAAATTGCTAGATTTCCTTTTGTCCTGCAGAAACCAGTGCTATGGAAATAATGAGATGGGCAGGGTGTCTTTCAAGCTGGTCAGCAGAGATTTAGAAATCTTTTCCCATGAATGTATGGGCTTTAATTCTGGGCTCTCTGATGATGGATGCACCACAAGAGGTATAAGAAAAAGGCACAGTTGCAGGCACATAAATATTGCCCTGGGCCATTCTCCCTTTAGGATCTGCAGGTTAATAATAAGGACAAATATACAAGGCAAGGTGGGGTGCTGAATCTTGCCTGTGG